GTTAGGCAACTAAGCTGGCACACTAGCATTGTTAACACAAATTTAGCATTAACCAGGCCAGGATGTCTGCCAGTTATTAGCTGCTTTTCTACCAGCAGTGCAACACTTGCGTAGTTACATGCAAACTGGGCAGTTGCCTACAGCTGGGGAGGTATGTGGATGTTTTAATGGCTGGACTAAATGGACTCCCCAGCAATATGATTTTTAATATTACTGCATCCTTGAACACTGGCCATCTTTCTATTTATTTAGTTTTTTTTTGGGTGGTTTAAGTGTTAAATTTTTTCAATGTAAAAATATTGGCCTTTGTTGTTACTTTTTTCCCTAAATGGTTGTTTCTTTTTTAATGTTATGAGTGTAATTGCTTTCCTAATTTTGCTTTCAAATTATGTACTGCTGGTATATGTAAGTGCAATTGAACTCTGTATGCTCTTTTATCTTGTGACCTTGATACCACATCTTCTGACCTTGATTTGTTTGTTCTAATGAATTTCAGTGAATTCATTATAGATTTTTATGTATGTTTATCTTATATGAAATACTCCAAATTGGAGTATTTCTTTTTCTTGCATAATTTTTTTCTGGATAATACCCTCAGGTCAATGTTGAGGAGCATGGAACAAGTGAAAATACTGTTTGTTTTTCAGAATTCAAGACAAAACTTCCAGTTTTTCATTATCAAATGTAACAACTATCTATATGGTTTTCATAAATTCTCTTTATAGTTAATAGAAATTCTCTTTTATTTCTGGTTTGCTTGAGGTTTTATAGTGAATACATGCTGTATTTGTTACAGCATTTTGTATTTATTGAAAGGATTGCTTCTGCGTTTTTATTCTGTTAATATTGTACATTTAATCAATTGGGTGTTGGAAATGAAGTCAAAACTGCACTTGTAAAACACTTCTACTTGGCTATGTTGTTGGGTTTGGTAGTGTATTTTGAGGATTTCTGTGCCTGCATTTATCTGTGATTCCACCCAGTTATACTTACATATGGTACTTCTGTCTGACTTGTGTTTGATTTTGGCCTCAGTATGATTTAGGAAGTGTTCCCTTCTCTGTGTTCTGGAATGGTTTGCAAACCATTGGGATGCTTGTTAGACTACTGCGCTCTGGGCTATCTTTGTGGAGCTTCTTAAAATTTTATTTAATCCCTTGTTTCCTTTATTAATTTGTATTCAGTCAAAGGAAGTTATTTTTAATTTTCTACATAAATGACATGGATGGCCAAAAGGTTCTGTTATAAGGTCAAGGATACAACTGTAACTACAGTGCTTCACAAAACAATTAGTAAATCTAAAGGAAAGTAATTTTAAAATGCCAGTTAATGTAGATTTTTTTCAAGCTGATCCATTAGCCAACTTCCTATTTTTCATCAATATTTAAAGAAGACAGAAAAAATAATTTTGAATAAGAAAAATCGTAGGGGACAGTGTTACAAGTAAAACTGCAACTTGTGATGCCAGCTGGTATCCAAAATGGGCACCTGTTTGTGTCTTGGCTGTTCCAGTTCTGATCCAGTTCCATGCTAATGGTCTGGGAAAGGTAATGGAAGATGGCCCAAGTGTTCAGTCTTTGCAACCATTTGAGAGTGGACCAGTGGAAGGAAATTCTGTCCCTGTCTTTCTCTTTCCCTCTGTAGCTCTTATAGATAAACAATGAAGCAAATATATCTTTTTTAAAAAAGATTTATTTATTTATTAGAAAGTCAGATATACAGAGAGGAGAGACAGAGAGGAAGATCTTCCATCCAGTGATTCACTCCCCAAGTGAGCGCAACGGCTGGTGCTATGCCGATCCGAAGCCAGGAGCTAGGAACCTCTTCTGGGTCTCCCACACAGATGCAGGGTCCCTAGGCTTTGGGCCATCCTGGACTGCTTTCCCAGGCCACAAGCAGGGAGCTGGATGGGAAGTGGAGCAGCCGGGATTAGAACTGGCGCCCATATGGGATCCTGGGGCGTTCAAGGCAAGGACTTTAGCCGCTAGGCCATGCCACCAGGCCCGCAAATACATCTTTTTAAAAGAGAGAAATGATTATAAAGCAATTTAGCACTAAGGACTGCTGTGAGCAAATGGAAATTTGGTGAATTAAAATGATATGTACTTACACAGTAACCTGTACTTTGTTCCAGCCATTATTTTAAGTTTCTTATACCTATAAACTGAACATCTTGGTTTAATTGGATTAAAAAAAGATTCACAAAAAATAGCAAATCAACACATCTACAATCATTTCCGTGACATTAAGACCATGAGACAAATCACATTTTTTAGTTACAACTACGTGAACATAAAGAATATGTTTATTAGATGTATGATTAACTGGATATAGAGATAAGTGGATTGCATTTTCACCAGGAAATAGAAGAAATGCATTATATTTCAAGAATAGAAAAATTTAAATGACAAGGCATTAGTCCTAACAACATTGCTAACTTCATGAAAGCAAATATACAACAGGTATTAATTACCCAGGAACCGAAATGATAGCAGAACTTAGTCACTATAAGCAACAAATGATATCTAGCTACACACAAGTTCCATGTGTCTCCTTATAGCTTATGAATTACATGAAAAACGTAAGTAGATTACATTTACAGAAAGATATATTTATTTTATTTATTTATTTTTTTTATTGTTAACATTGTATTATGTGATACAGTTTTATAGGCACTGGGGATTCCCCCCACCCCTCCCATACCCCTCCCCCCATGGTGGATTCCTCCACCTTGTTGCATAACCACATTTCAAGTTCAGTTGAGATTCCTTCCTTGCAAACACATACCTAGCATAAAGTCCAGCGTCTTATTGTCCAGATAAGTTCAGTGGCCTCTTGGGGAGACCTTCTCTAGTCTGAAGATAGGGCTAACAGAGTAAAGATCCGGTCAGTTAAAAGCCCCAACAAGGCCTCAGTATCAATATACAACATTATGGAATTAATTGACATAGTATTGGGTAAACAATATGTTAAAAATAATGCAAGTTCCATTCTTCGAAACATCTGGGTTGAGACAGTATCAATGACAGGTTCAAAAAATAACCAACAACCAAATAAAAATTACAGGTTAAATCAAGGCAAACATGTGGTATCTAACCTTTTGGGATTCGCTCATTATTTATTTATTTTTTTTACAAAGTTAGATATACGGAGAGGAGGATAGACAGAGAGGAAGATCTTTCGACCAATGATTCACTCCCCAGGTGGGCACAATGGCTGGTGCTGTGCTGATCCCGAGCCAGGAGCTAGGAAATTCCTCCAGGTCTCCCACACGGGTGCAGGGTCCGAAGGCTTTGGCGCAGTTTTGGCGCAGTCCTTGATTGCTTTCCCAGGCCACAAGCAGGGAGCTGGATGGAAAGTGGAGCAGCTGGGATTAGAACCAGAGCCCATATGGGTTCCCAGAGCATTCAAGGCAAGGACTTTAGCAACTAGGCCACCACGCCGGGCCCCAGAAAGATATCTTAAAGGAAGTATAGCAATTAGAGCCAAAAGACCTAAATTCTTTCAGGTAAAATATTCTATGAGTATTACCTTAATATTTTAAAAATTATTTTGTATTAATGTTGGTACTCTTTACTAACATAAAGGATATATTTTCATAAATATGCATTAAAATAAAATATATTTAACAGAATTTTAAAAACCCTACTTTCTACAAATTATGATTAATGCAGGGTATATATGGGATGCTCCAAATGGAGAAACTCAGAGCATGTCATGAAATGTCACAGTGTGTGACACAATATCTATGTGAACTGTTTCATCTCTATTTGAAGAACAGAAGAAAGAAAGCATAAAATATCTGGAGAAAGCATACGTAAAACTACATAGTGGAGTTAGAATGTTACAAAATAATGATGGACAAAAAAAAAAAAAACACCTGTTATTTGTTTTGTGGGAATAAAAAAAAACTCTCTACAACTTAAAAGCACATTTGAAAATAACCCAAATATAAGGTAAGCAATAGAAGAGTACATCAAGCTAATAGACAGTGTATAGAATAACCATTAAATTGAGGTAATGACAGGACTAGTGAACTAGAAAATTCAGCAAAAATAGGAAATTTTTAAGTATCACAAAACATAAACAAAGACTAGCATTAGAAGTAAAACACACTAATATATGAAAAGAATGAGTAAGTAATCAAATATATGTTGATGCACAAATGGCTAAAACTCATAGTAGAAAAAATATACAAATATGTAAATAGGCTAGCACCATGGCTAAGTTTCTACCTGAAGTGCCAGCATCTCATATGGGTGCCAATGCCTGTCCTGGCTGCCCCACTTCTGGTCCAGCTTCCTGTTTATGGCCTGGGAAAGCGACTGAGAATGGCCCAAGGCTTTAGATCCCTGCATCCACATGGGAGACTCAGAAGATATTCTAGGCTCCTGGCTTCAGATCAGCTAAGCTCTGGCCATCGTGCCCATTTGTGGAATGTGTAACTGTGTTTCAAATAAAAATGAAATAGATCTTAAAATCAAATCTCATAATCAGACACAAATCCTTGAATTTAAAAGCTCCATATTTCAAAAAGAGATAAACATAGCTAATGAACACAACAATCAGACTTCATAAATGCAAGAAAAAACGCATTGGAGAAAAATTCATAAGTGAGGGAAAATGATGCTGGTTACTAAGGTGAGATCCAAACTATCATGACCCACGGAGCTGGGTCAGAGTGTTGCTGACCAAAGTGCCAGGCTCAGATGAAATATTTTGGAGAAATAAGCATAAACATTCTCCAGAGAAAACTCTGAATGATGGGACACAAACAAGATCTTCCCAAAATGACACTTACATAAGCTAAAAATGTTTTCTGGATGGAGATCTGAGAATTGGAGTGAAAAAGAGCCCACTGATGGAAACATCAACTCATGTGAATGCTGCGAAAAAAGGAGCACCTGTGATAAGCTGTAATCAAATGCTATTCCCACATTCCAACTCACGGTATGGCAGATTCTTGACTCTTCCAGTACTGTAACTGCCGGCAGGTGCATCTAGTGTGAAAGGCTGCTGCATGCCTGCTTCACACTTTGCAGAATACCGATGACCCTTCTGTCAGAACTGAGCAGCACCACAGGACTGACTATGGCATAGATTTTGCTCACAAGTGTCCGGATGGTCTGCATCACTGGTCCATCATCTGATAAATGGGTTGGGAAGGATGAAATTATAAAGTCCATCCAGAACATGACCACAAAGAACCCCACAAGCAGCACAATGGTCTGTGAGGCCCTTTTTTCTGGGGAGGGTGTTGAGGAGCGGCTGCTGCTGTGGAGATACTGGACCCTCTTCTGGTGCTTGAACAGGAGATTCAGCAGGTACATGCTTGAGATCAGCATCACTCCTACAAAGCAAACATCCCTGGAGGTTGTCAAAGCATAAAACAGGTATCTGACAATGGAGTTCATGGGGGAGAGTGAGCAGTATTTATCCAGCTTCAGAAAATGGGTCTGGTTCAGATTGGAAAAAGCCACAACATAAAAGGTCAGAGAAGCACAGGAAGATAAGCTGAGGGTCCACATGAACACATAGACATGAGTAATGAAATTTACAGATTTGTGTTTAAACTGGGCCAACCAGGAGGTGCTGGGGCTCAGAGTGATAGCTTGAAGTGTGCTCAGGACACAGGTGGTGCAGATGGAGAGGCCCTGCATCACCCTACTCACGTAATACAAAGCCTTGCACTTAAAGTCATTTTGAAAATGCAGTGACTCAAACAGGTCCGGAGACACCAAGAACACCATGGTGAGGAGCATGACTATGTGGACAAGTGCCAGGTGACAGATGGTCAGGCTACTAGGCTTCAGTCTGCAATCCTGGAGGGATGGGAGGATGTGGGAGAGGAGGAGTATGGTGTTGGCTGTGATTCCAAAGCCAGCTTGGGAGAAAAGGGCATTTTTAAGTAACATGTTGGATTGAATATGATTATCTTAATGGTAAAGAGGAATGAATACAGTTCTTTCCATTCTGTATCACAAAACAGAATAATATTCTAATCTCACAATAGTTTATACTCAACCCATGAGCAGGAGATGTATTGCTGTAGGGACAAGAGACAGAAAACTGCCAGAGCAGCTTTTAATCACAGATCTTGGACTAAAATTTTGCAAACCTTACCATTTTGTCTACTAGCGAACTTTCAGACTACCAAAAACAACAAAGAGATGCAAACAAAATGTTAACAATTTTGTTTCCCAAAGGTTACCACTGCACCACTGTGAGTCACAGAAAAGAGATTAGTAACATGAACTGTGTCACTTGGACATTAGGAAGGCAAAGGAGTCCATATTCTCTGCCTCCAGGGCCCCCCACCAAGTAAGCGCAGACTGATCCTGTGAAAAACATCCCTCCTCCCACACAAGAAATGCAAAACAAACATAAAAACATTCAAATGATCAGAACGGGGGAGTCTTCTGCTAATTTGTAAGGGTTTTGATGCCTGATAAACCAACAATGGGAAATCTCTGTCTTGTCCCAATGTCCTGTTTTCAGCAGGACCCTACTTCCACCCTGGCTTCAGTTCTGAAGATGTGGATGCTAGAAGACCCTTGCCTAAGTGAGTCAGATGTTAGCCTGGTGAGTTTCAACAGCTTCACTGTGCATATGCATTTTACTGCGTTAATGGCAACTTTAAACTTTCTAAGAAAAACACAAGGATATTAAATTTAAAGATTATTTTTATAATAAAGGAATATGTCACTGCAATATGCAAATGAATACTATGCCATCGCTAAACAATCTCAAACTCAAATACAGAACATTTTTATAAGATTTAATCTATTGACAAGACACATTACATAGAATCTAAGGAAATCATGGAAACCATAGTGAAGATACTAGCTTCCTTGTGTAAGTTGGTCAGCTATGCCGCAGAGATTTGATACACAGCAGAAAGTGATATTCCCAGGTTGTTCTGTGACAGCAAGGAAAAATAATCTCAGTATCAGAAGCAACTAATTTTAAATAAAACAGTGTTCCTTATAGTCATGCTAAATTTCATTTTTGTAACATCATTTTTAAGTAGTCCTTTGATATTAGAAATACCTTCAAACTTAAATTTATATATATATGTTTAAATCCTTCGAAATCAATTGACCTGTTATCTTAAAAGATAAAAATTTCCATAAATGCATAGTTTTGTTATACTAATGTATTAAAATAAAAATAATTAAAATCTTAAATTCAAATATAATATCACAAACTTACAAATCTCTCTTCACAAAATATAAAACTATTATATATTCATGAAAACTATCAAATCTTCATGAAAATTACATTTCACTGAAAACTTCTGGATTAGTAATAGAGCTTATTGAGGTCTGAAGACAATCTGTTGAAAGAACCACATTCATCCACATGAAAAACCCCACTCCCCGCCTCCTGCCCTGCCTGAGCACAATGCTTAGACAGAGGCACTCACCCAGCTGAGTGGAGAAGCAGATCCTGAGTGCGTGAAATGTGGCCCAGGGTGTATTAAAAGAAGGATGACAGCAGCTCAGCTCCCTCCAGGCCATCACTATCATATCACAGCCCTGGCCATGGGATCATCAAGCCCAGGAGAAAGTTCCACCTCAGGGAAAAATATGCTTTCTTGGAAGCTGCAAGATGGCACAGGGGCAGCAGCTGGACTCCACACCCAGACCTGTCTGGGCAAGTCCTCTGCCCTCTGGCTCCATCAACCCATGAGAGTTAAGCCCTGACTCTAACTTTGGTTTGTTTTTAATTCTCTATCAATTACCTACTGCATCCCTGTTGACTTGAGATACTCCTGGTAGGCTTCACTCATGTTCCACGGGGTGCCTGCCTGTCACTATGATGAACAATGTGCACATTGTGAAGAAAATGCCCTCCACCTACATACTCTGGATACACACAGGTAGGAAACAAGCATTCATAACAGCACTTCTTTATCCCTGGTTTTTTAAATCACTGCATAAAAAATATGGCTCATAGTATCTTGGGAACTATAATGTGGAAATTTAAAGTATCTGTGAGTGTCTCTTTTCCAGATTGCCTGCCATGAGAAAGAATTTGGATTTTCTTTGGAACTTGGAATGATCGCATATATGAGGGAGCTTAAAAAATTTTTTTTTGTGGAAGGATCTGACACAGTAGCTTAGTGGCTGAAGTCCTCACCTTACTCCTGCCTGCCCTCTTCTTTCCAGCTCCCTGCTTGTGGCCTGGGAAGGCAGTAGAGGATGACCCAAGGCCTTGGGACCCAGCTTTTGTGGCCACTGGAGAGTCAACCAGCAGATAGAAGATCTTTCTGTCTCTCCTTCTTTCTATAAATCTGACTTTGCAATAAAAAAATAAATAAATCTTTAAAAATTTTTGTGGGAAATGGAATCAGCACTTTTGATGAAAAAATTTCAAACGTTATGCATAGTTTTTTATGAACTGTTTGAATGCTCTTCATTATACATGCAGTATCTTGTGGGTGTGTCCCACTTCTAATTCCTTTAGTTTTTATATAACTTTTATATACATATTATAATTTCATAAATCTTTAATAATTTTAAATATTCATTTTATTTCTTTTAAAAGACAGAGCTAGAAAGAGAGCAAAAGAAATAGATCCTCCTGTTGCTAGTTCACTACCCAAACGGCCGCAATGCAGGGGCTGGGCCAGCTTCAAACTAGGAGCTTCATCCATTTCCTTATGTGAATGCTGGGGCCAAAGTCTTAGCCCATGTTCTGCTGCTTTGCTAGGTGCATAAACAGGGAGTAGGATAGAGCAGGACTTGAACTGCTGCACATATGGGATGCTGGCTCTGTGGGTAGTTTAACCCGTTATATCATGTACTGGCCCCCATAAATTTTGGCTTAGAACAAAGTATCATGGTGTGGAATTTTACATTGTTGTCATCAAGTTAGTACTCAAAAAACTTCATAGTTTGATGAATTTTAGATTCTTGATTTGGGCTCTCAATCTATATTTACCATTAACAGCACAGAGTAGGACAGTGAGGAAAATGTGTATCAGGCTGAGAAAAAAATTTCTAGGTAATAACTTGGGTTCATAAATGAAGAGAATAAAAATGGGAAATATGATGATCACTGTCAAAAATGGATATATTTTTTCTTTTTAAAATATTTTTGTCTTTTTTTTGAAAGAGTTGCAGAGAAAAAGAGGGACAGACAGGGAGAGATCTACCATTTGTTTCAATTCTCAGATGGCTGCAATGGTCAAAGCTGGGTAGGACACAACCACATCTCCTACATGGGTGATCCAAACACTTGGCCCATCCGTTGATTCTTTTCCTGGGCCATTTTAGCAGAGCGCTGGATTGGAAGTGGAGTAGCCAGGATTAAAACCAGTGTGTATATGGGATGCTGGCACTGCAGGTGGCAGCTTTGCCCAGTGCACTTCAACACTGGTCCCAATAAAGTTTTAAATAGATGATCACTCTTTTTTCTACTTCTAGTTTATTTAAAACAAACCTATATGAGGAAATTTAAAAATTTTTTAAATTTTCTAACATAAAAAAATCTTTGAACCAAATTAATGTAACGGTACTTATACAAGCAAATGACGATGGCCTGGGCAGCAGTCAGAACAAGAGGGGTTCAGAGGGCTCCACTCTTTAATATGGGCACTGAGTATTTATGGGCAGACAGATACAGCTAAGTTGGCTCCAGCTACATTTGGACATGGGTTAATAGGCTGAAGTAGAGTGTTAATGAATGCCTGAGATCTGGCTGTTGTGAGAAACAAAATACTCCCAGGTTGGGGTCCAGTGTGTTCACAGACCAACTCAGGTCCTAGTTCATTCTGAATAAACTTGATGCTTGGAGATAAGAGTGAGAGAATTTAACAGTGCACCCTTTTGAGTCTCTTCTTGATTTTTGATAGATCAGATCTTGGGAATGACAGTATTGTCTGTCTCAATTTTAGTGGGATACACACTTCTCAAAGTCAGGTGAGTTATATGATTCTTCATATTTTTGCTGTTCTGGTTAAAATAGGACCACTTAACACATGAAGGAAGGCTACAAACCAACAAGTAATACTCAGGAGAAAATGCAGCATATAGGGAGACCCTGATGATGAACAATGGGAGGGTAAGAGGACTGCATGCATCATGAGGATGATATCAAGACACTGAAGTGAACTCTTTAGCAGAAGTTCCACAAACCAAAGACAAATTGAGTAAGTCAAAGTTCAGACATATAGAGAAATCACACTTTAGTTCATGTGTTCCATTTTTTTTAACTCAGGAACTCACAGTGACTAACACTCTTGGTCCACTTTCAATATTCCTAGTTGTAATCCCATTTTCACTGACTTTCAAGTTCAACCACTTCAAAGAAAACAGATATTAGCAGATAGTAGAGCAGGGGAGGGCATTGTGATGCTGCAGATCAGGCAGCACTTGAGTCCTCAGTTGCTCAGAAGAGCACCTGCCAATCCAGCTCTCTGTCAAGGTTCCCGGAGGTGGGGAGGGTAGGAGAGAATGACTCAGGTACTGGGGCCTCTACCATTCACACAGGAAATCTAGTTGGAGTTTGGCCCCTAGATGTGGCATCGTCTAGAAAGGGAATAGGGAATGAATAAAGGTAAAAGGTAATGTTTACTTTTAGAGACAACACAGTCTGAGATAACTAAACTCAGGGAGTGAGATGAGATTCCTAGGTGAAAAGGGCTGAGTGCCACTAGAAATGTTTGCTAAATCTGGTCCTGGGCAAGCAAATGAGAGCAACTACAACAGTCAGAGCTTTTTCTTGGCTAAGAAGAGACCACTTGTCCTTTAAATATGTATATGGAATGGAGCAACAGAAAGGAATATGAAAGAACCCACATTGAAGAGTGAGTTTATCTCTTTTGCTAAATTAGTAGCAAAGCCTGAGCTGGGGCTTTCTGGTTGAAAGACAGAGAGGGATCTCCACTGATTTCTTCAAACTTGGGTTC